GTATAGTGGAACAAAATCTTCAGATGGGGATCATGTCATCCCAATACACTGATGTCAAGTGAGGCAGGTCAGCAGGATCACTTGCGCTGCGATGATTGTCAAAATGAACCATTTGCATGGAGATGAAAACGAATGAAATGCTAATTACTCGCCTATCCCTAAACCCTCAACCCTAAACCTATCTAAACCTTAATCCCTGAACCCTAAACCCCAAACAGCACCTGTCTAAGTCCTGGCTACTCATCTGAGCCTGACTTGATCAATTGCTGCCGCTGGAGATCGTCGAACTTCTGCACGGACCTACTGAGCGGGTGAAACATGTACGCCTTGTGCAGGGTTTCTGGTTTGTATAGGGTTTAGTTAGGGTTATATAAGCTTTAGGGGTTGGGGTTTTGGATGCAATTAGCTAAACTACCGGCACTGAGAGGGCATCCTTCTAGAAAGGACCGGGTTTGGGGAGAGCTTTTGGTTGTCTTCAAACATGTTGTAGAGCCTTGTAACATCTCTGGAACTAGATGAAGCGCCGGAGTCGTCACAGCTTTTCCCAGGCCGAAGACCCAAAAGGAACTTAACATATAGAACATTCAGGATGATGGGGCTTCAAGTCTATCCATGGGGGCCGGCCAACATGCAGGCCTCCACCAGTGAGAAGTTAGAAGTTTTACTGCAGAAAGTCTTGCGCAAACCCCGGCCTGTCGCGCCTTGCTGCGTGCTGTTCAGAACATGAAATGACACCAGCCATGGAGTATCCAAACTCTATGATCCTCCTTGAACTGATGCTCTGTTTTGAGTTGCACGTTTGTAGATTCTAACTGCTTTCGGGATGGCCTCAACCTGTTTTCCGCGCCAGCCATTGGCTCTAGAAACCCGCATGGAAAGAACTGTAAGTCTGCAAGTCTCAAAATGTGATTTTCCTATAGGATCCCTGGATACTGATGTAACAAACATCCTTCTATACTCCCCAATGTCCTTGCAAACAATTTTCCAATCTCATCCCCTATGCATGGGAGCGCTCGGGTAACCGCCAAAGTCTGCCTTAAAAGTAAAAGCTGTACGTTTCCCCCAAACCCAGAGCTTCATAACGTAGAGCCTACTTACCCAAGAAGTACTAGAAGACAATAAGGCAATTCGAGGAAATTGGCCAACCTGTAACTTTCGCATCTTTCGCAAAGCAAAAACTACAGATTTATAAGTGTCGCAAAACAAAAGCTTATGATTCGTAAGAAACTCCGTTATCCTCCCTGAATATTCTAGCCCAAATCTCATATTCTCAGGGTCCCCAAGGAACCGCAAACCCTATCTGAGCTATAGTCTAAACTCAACTCCTAGCATCCGTAATACCCTATATACTCCCTTCTATCACCCCTTTAAGGATTTTGGACCCTAAACCCTAAACATCCTAAACCCTAAACATCCTAAACCCTAAGACCTAAACCCTGAACCCTATACCCTCCCTAAACCCTAAACCCTATACTCAAACCCTACATGGCTCATTATGGCTCATTTAGGGATAACCTCCAGCCACCAAGCCCAGGCTGAGCCTGAGGAAGCCCGAGTGGCCCAGGTAGCCTCAGCCGGAAATTGCTAGGGTTTAGGGAGGGTTTAGGGTTTAGGGATTGGGATTTAGGGTTAGGGATTAGGATTCAGGGGTTAGGGTTTAGGGATTAGGGTGTAGGGATTAGGGTTTAGGGATCAGGGTTTAGGGACTAGAGTTTAGGGACTAGGGTTTACGGATTATGGTTTACTTAGAGGGTCAGAAGAACTTAGTAAGTAGGTTGAAAACCTTTATAATCCATCTGGTAACCTTAGTTAACTCCCTTACTAACCTACTTACTAAGTCCCCGTGACCCTCCAAGTAGGTTTTAGGGCTTCGGGTCAAGCTTTGGTAAACATGGCTGAGGTGAATTTGAGGGAAAGCTGCATGGAACAATGGAAATCCTTCCTTTCCACACTGAAAAAGCACCGGACGAGGCCCAGCATCTCAAACCCTGAAATTCCCGGGAAGCCCGATACCCCGCACATAAACTACATACCTTAAACCATGTCAAGCAGACCAAGATCGTTTAGGATGTGCTCCTTGATGCCCTAAACTTTAAACCCTAAACCCTAAACTCTAAACCCTAAACCTTTAACCCCTAAACCCCTAACCCTAAACCTAAAACCCAAAGCCCTTATGGTTTCTCTGGGTTGGCCGGATGCTCAGCGCAAAGCCGTTGACCGACTCTTCGGCCACTCCCAGGGGGATAGGAGCTTCAGCATCCCTGAGCCACGGACTTGGACTCTAGCCAAAGAAGGTATAGTCTTGGGTTTAGGGTTTAGGGGTTTAGGGAGTCTAGCCAAATAGGGGATAATCCCCCATAAGTAGATAGAATATTAGGGTTATATAGGCATGATGGACCCTGTGCCCTGAGACCCTTATGGTCCCCCTTAAGTAGGTAGGGTTTAGGGTTTAGGGCTTAAGTCCCCCTTAAGTAGATAGAATATGGGGCATATGGGGATCTGATTATAACATATCCAAAGCCATGCTCTATCTACCTAAGGGTGACTATACCGCTAGAATTGTGAAATAAGGCCAATGCGCAGGCTTGGAAAACTTTCAATCCGGAGTCGAAACAATTTCCACAGCTGCGTAATACGAGTAGGATAGTTCCTTTCCCATGGCCTTGCTGAGGAGCAAAGCTTATAGAAACTCGCAAGTTTTTTGGGGGCATAGCTAGCCTCCGCACAATCACGGATGGATGTTCAACTCATTCCTGAGCAAAGCCACAAAGGGTTAACTGTCCAAGCTGCAAGGGTGAGGAGCAGCAAGTGGCACGAAACAGCACGGGCGTTTGCTCAGTGCAAACCGTCTTGAACGATGAGAAAGCAGCATGGCCCTTTGGAAAGCATTGCGAGAACCATCAGTTAAACTCAGTTGGCGCCACCCCCTGAATCCACTATAGTCCCCCTTAAGTAGATAAGAATATGGGGCAAAAGGGATCTTATTATAATATACCCAAAGCCATATTCTATCTACTTAAGGGGGACTATAAGCCCTTCCTGGCCGAAACTTGAATTCAGGAAGCCCCAAAAGTGACTGCATGTAAGGCGGCCGCATGTGAGCCATAGCCCAACGTCCTGGTATCCCCCTTAATGACTGCTATAGTCGTCCCTTATATAATCCCCTATATGACCCCCTTCAAACAGTTTAGACTGTAGCTCATGTTGTGAGACTTTAGGGACGCTATAAGAGCCTTCGAGAAGAGATAAACTGTCCCAGTTTAGGGTTTCGGGTTTAGGATCAGGGTTTAGGGATATTACCCACCAGAATGGAGATTCGACTGGAAAGGAAAACGGAACATGAAATGGCAACTGGGAGTATGTGGAGATTTATAGGCTTGATATTAAACATCCTGCATGACCATAAGTACTTCATATTTTGGGAACTATGGTATTGTAGTATACTAAAGTCATGCAGGATTAGTATCACAAGCATGGCGCCCCTTGAGGATTCCGTCTTTCAACTGGCAGTCGCGCAGGGTAACCCTGCTCGGAGGTTTGGGTGGACTTAATAAGTAGGTTAGGAAGGGGATATCTAGGGTTACTATATGGGTTACAGGGATTATTAAGGAACCTACTTAGCAAGTCCACCTGACCCTCCAAGTAAACCCTTAACCTCAACCCTAAACCGCAGGGGAGCCTGACACAGCCGAGCTGGGCGAGTGCCTTCATGACCTCACGCTCTGAGATGACGCCCGTGTCATACCTCTTACTTGGATCAAGGGTATAAGGTTTATATAGGGGATACCTCTTACTTGGGTCAAGGGTTTAGGAGTTTAGTGTTTAGGGGGGTTCCAAGAATCTGGGCTGTTTTTTAAGGAGCTTAAGTTAACTTACAATCATATGGGCACATGGTAAATAATCGGGGTTCTGTATACTAGTACCTTAATCCATGTTCTTTCACAGCAAGCTGAGGTACCCCCTCAGGATAACAGAGAGCTGGATAAGGTCTGACAGGATTCTAAATCTGTGGGGGTGGACATCTTGGAGGGGATAGCATCGTACACTCCAATTGTTTTAGGGTTCAGGCTGGGATGTTTACGCGCGCATCGCGCTGCAAGCATTGATGTTTTTTTTGCTGATTTAAGGTCAAAAGTGTTCAGGGTACGAAATGGAAAAACACACATGCAAGATGAAATGGAAGCTGGTTGTTACAGGGACATGAACCAAAGTCCCCCCCTGAGCTTTTTATCCCACTTCTCAACAAAGCAATGTACACACCCTTCCAGGTTCCTAATACAAAGCCGTTATGAACACTGCCCATATCCACTACCTGATCAGCTACAGTATCCTGACAAAAAACCACAATCATACCCACCTACCAAACCCAAGCACATCCCTTCCAATCGCTTTCGCAGGACTTCACGAGCTGTCTGCTGCGTGATGCTGCAGAGCCGTCTCTCCTGTCCTTTCAGGGAGCACCAGCTTCAATCAAGGGACCTTCACGTTGTATCCTTGATGGTTCTGCCATACTACACTTTAGCACCGGCTTCAACCAGCAGCTGCGCAATCTCAAGGTGACCACTGTCACGTGAATACATGAGAGCTGTCTTGCCCGAGTGTTGCGATTTCATGTCGGCACGTGCTTCAGCAAGCAACCGCACAACCTCCACGTGGCCAAGTTCAGATGCAATCATGAGAGCTGTCTTGAACCCCGCAGGCGCATCCATGTTAGCACTGGCTTCCACAAGCATCCGCACAACGTCCACGTGGCCCAGCTCGGACGCTATCATGAGAGCTGTCTTGTGCTTCGCAGACGCACTCGTGTCAGCACGGGCTTCGACAAGCAACTCCGCAACCTCCACGTGGTTAAACTCCGCTGCCAGCATAAGAGGTGTTTTGCAGCTCCACTTTGCAGCCGAGTTCATGTTCGCACGAGCGCCCAGAAGCAAACGTACGAGCTGAGCGTGGCCGCGTTCGGATACAAGTATGAGAGCTGTGTTGCAATCATAAGACTCGACCACATCACGCTTGGAGCGGGCCTCAACAAGCAACCGCACAAGCTCAATGTAGCTGCCGTCGGAGTCGTGCATGAGAGCAGTCCTGCAGGCCGCAGCCAGTTCCATATTAGCGCCAGCTGCCAACAGCGAACGTACGGTCTCAACACGGCCCCTGGAAAATTCCCAAGTGAGCTCGTCTGCAACCTCTTGCTGGTTCCAGGGCCACAGCGACAGCTGCACATCGCAGGGAGCAGTCAGGGCTGTAGAGCCACTTATCCTACAGCTGTCCTTTGAAAGCTCTTGCTGGCACAGTGGGAAGCCATAGAGCAAGCGTAAATGACGCTTCAAACTTTCCCCGGTTCTCACGTCCGGGAATTCCTTCGTGTCCACTTGGGCCACCTGTTCCCCTGAAAGCTTGCAGACACGTATCATGTTGGCGCAAGTCTGTCTGCAGGAAGGTAAGCCAAAATGGGCCACCACTGGCAGAAGCAGAATAGGACTTGATGGACTGATGATACCATGCCCCTCTAATTACGGAGTTACCAATGCCACATGTGAGCCATAGTCTAAACTCCTGGTATAATCCCTTACCCTTGAGGAGTTCAGACTTTGGCTCACATGTGGCGGAAACTTGCCGAAGTTATTCTGAGGTTATGAGAAGCACGCCATGCAGAGCCCAAAAGCATAGCTGGACACAAGATATGAGCTATCGTCTGTATATGTATACATGTATACATACACACACATATACATATACATATGTATGTATGTATATATATATATCTAATACTTTAGGGACATTTCATATATATATATATAGAATACTTAATGGGTTCCTAGCAGGGAATCTAGTAGCGAATATACGAAAGTACCATAGGGACCCCTCTATCCGCTCTTCATGACCGCCATATACTGAAAAATCGCTCTACATGGCACATTTCCCGACAACATAGGCGAACACCACAGGGTTCAGGGCCCTTACTAGGGGCTTATGGTTTCAACCTTTGACAATTTTGGAAGTGTCCCACCACTATCCTGCATCCTGTCCCGTAAAAAATTACTCCAACGGAAAGGGATGTATACGATTACAACAGCAACAACATGATGGAAGGATGCAACGAACTAATCATACCGCATGTTACTGTACCGACTAGCTTAAACAGAATTCAGTGTAGGGGGTATTTCCCAGTTCAAGGTTATAGATTCTGAGGTTAACTTACTGCTGATTCGTAGGGAGTGAAGGAATGGAGCAGAACATGGAAACTACCATTATCTGTTGGGGATTGTATGGGGGCTACTACAGAGATCCGTTCCTCCTTTCCGTAAGAACATGGCGTATTACGGGATACAGGTTTATGGGATTGTTTTTGGGATAGGTTCCCCCAGTAACACCGATTCACCCTGAAACCCCAAACCCTAAACCAACATCCGCAGCTTGGCAGGCGCACGGATCAATCTTCGAGAAGATGGCCTACCAACTCACCCAAGAACTTCAGAGAGCACAGTAAGGCTGCAATTTTGAGCATACGTATTCTGTAGGCATCATACAGTGTCCGACCAAGGGGACTATATTTGAAGAGGGATCTGATTGGTATCCTGGCTTCTGGCCGAAAGTGAGTGGTATATGGTTGCAAGTAACTACGTACCATCCTGGTAAAAGTTTCTTGCCCTAAACATCGTACATCTTACGAGGTGAAGCAAAGATCGGGCGAAAGGATGGGGGGAGTTGTCGTAATGTAGACCCCTGATGAATAAACCCTCTCCGGACCATCTCCCTTTAATAGGGATTCTAATAGGGGCCGTAATATTAAGGCCCCTAAACGGAGGGGTCTATTCATCATGGGTCTACAGTAGGGCATCCGACCCCAAAAGAAGTAGCAAGGACCGAAAGTTTTGAGATCTCAAACAGAGTGGTTGGGGACTGTACGAAGGTACGGAAGGGACGCCTAAGTCCATCCTGAATCCGATGGTAAGCCCAATATGACCGTAGCTTGTGTGTGCTTTGTGTTGGATGTTCGATGGCACAAGCTTGACTAAGACACAGCAGGAACTTTTGCAAACACCGCGCATCTCACGAATGCACCCTCAACAAATCCCCAAGTTTTTGGCTGAGCTTCTTCGACTTTCTACACATAAGCTGTGACATCACATGTATGTATTTCGCAAAGCTGCAAGCATCGTCTTACCCAGAAGTACTCCGCATTTGGAGAAACTGCCTCGGACGCTTTCAGAAGTCCCTAAACCAAAAACCCTAAAC